AAAAGCTAGGATTGAAGCAATTCTTTATTCTTACAGCATCTCTGGACCGACTGCTCAAGGTCTTGGGTACTGATAGCTTCTTAGCAGTGATCAGAGGATAAGTGGGGTCTTTTCTTGCCTTCTCACCAACCTCAGAAAGCCTTAATCCAGGGCCGTCTCACGAGGGTTATGGTGAGCAGCCTGGGCTGCCTCATGTATGCAGGGGAAATCCTGGTATGGGGGAACACAGCCCAGTCAGGCTTCCCCAAAGTGGCGCCAGCTACTGAAGAAGATGCCAGCGCCAGGCCTCATGCTGCAGCACAAAGGCATAGGGATGGCACCTGATAATTGACTGGAGGACTCAGCTGGCTGAAATAATGGGAACTTCTAAGGATGGATGGATGGAAGGGGTGCTGATGCTGATTGCCAACTCCTGCAGCTCCTGGTCATGAGTAACTCCACAGACCATCCCTCGAACCACAAAATCACTGGTGCACACAGCCATGAGCACCTCAGCATCACTGAACAGGCGATAAGGTTGTGGGTGAACAGGGGAAGGTGCAGGTGCCAGTCCCCCTGAAGTTCATAGTGGAAGGCTGCAACTCAGAGATTAATGCCCCGATGTGGGGTAAACTGAACAAACAGTGCTATCCTGTGACTTTCATCGGACACACCAGCCCCTGGGAGGCCCCTGGGAGGCCCCTGGGCCTTAGCCAACTCCAGGAGCCCGTCTGTCTCCACTAGATTTGCCCCCAAACTCCAAGGGGCCAGAGGACTTGATGCAGGCTGTGATATGCCTGGGACTCTGGCCAGCTCCAGCATTGCCTGGAGGCAGCCTAGGGGAGAGGATAAGGTGAAGGAGCCTGCTAGGTACAGCCACTCCAGGGAACCCTCAGCACAATGCAGGGATAGCTGCTTCACTTCTTAGTCTCCTGGGACAAGCCATTCCTTCTCCAGCTGCACTGATCCTCTGAGTAGCTGGTCAGGGCTGCAATGGTCTGGAGGCTGTAGCCTAGTAGCCAGAGCAGCAGTGGAAGGGGCTTGGCCAGGAGGCTGAAGCCAAGCCCTGAGGCCCCACGATGGTCAGGAGCTACAGCCCTGCCTCAGCACCAACAGCTGGTGCCGCAGCCCCAGACCCTCTCTACAAGTGACCCTCAGCCTCCACTAGACAGTGTCTGCCCTCAAGGAGCTTACAGTCTAATGGGGGGAAACAACACGCAGACAAATATATACATAGCAAGCTATATCAAAGATAAATAGGAAATAATTAACAGAGGGAAGGCATTGGATTTTTTTTTTTTTTTTAGGCAATGGGGGTTAAGTGACTTGCCCAGGGTCACATAGCTAGTAAGTGTCAACTGTTTGGTCTGAGGTCACATTTGAACTCAGGTCCTCCTGACTTCAGGGCTGGTGCTCTATCCACTGCGCCACCTAGCTGCCCCTAAACGCACTAGATTTAAGAGGGGTTGAGGAAGGCTTCCAGTAAAAGATGGGATTTTAGTTGGGACTTAAAGGAACCAAGGAGGTCAGTTGTCTGAGCAGACAAAGGAGAGTGTTCTAGGATAGGTGAGGAGAGGAGGTCCAGTTTGACTGAAACATAGGATATGCTAAGGAATAGAATGTGAAATAGGGTTAGGAAGGTAGGTTAGAGCCAATCTGTGGAGAGTTTTAAATGCAGGACTAAGGAATCTTATTCTAGAGGTAATAGGGAGCTACTGAAGGCTTTTGAGCAGGTCTATTACCTATTCAGACCTGTGCCTTAGGAAGATTATGTTGGCAGCTGTGTGGAAGAATGAGTGGAGAGGGTAAAGACTGGAGAACAATTATGAGACTTACTATAGTTTAAGCAAGACATAATGATGCAGTTTGGGGTTGCTGGGAACCCTGAAATGTCAGGGCACAGGGCGGATCTGCATGGAAAGAATTCAAGCATTCAAACTTCTTTCAAAGTAGCAAGGTTTATTGTATGGCCAATAGTGTAGGCCAGGTTCCTAGTGAATCTGCACCTTGATGAGGTGAGATTGATACTTAGATACAAAAAAAGACAGTGATACAATCTGGATAAGATTAAGGAATAGCCACTGGGGTGGCCCAAGTGCCACAGTGAAAGAGCTATTAAGTAGTCTGAGGTGGGTCAAGAGGACTGTGAAGGGAATATTAAGTGGTCTGGGGTAGGCCAGAGCCATATGAAAGGACTGTCTAGGATACTATCTAGGTGGGTAGGGATGGCCCTGATGCCTTGGTCAAGACACCAGTGATCTGGACTGCTGAAATGTGTGGAAAAATTCAGGTACTGGGTTGCTGAAATATATGGGAAAATTCAAGGTCAAGGTCCCATCATCTCATCATTAACATGGGCCTGGACTATGCTATTAGTCATGTGAATGTCTAGAGGACAGATGTGAAAGACGTGAAGGCAGAACCAATTTGATATTACCATCAAGGGAGAGGGAAGAATCAAAGATCCAGAAGGGTCCTGATGCCCTGAAGAGAAATACAGAAGTGTGGAGAAGGGGAGACTTTAAGGGGAAAGATCATATGATCATAAATTTAGAGCCAGAAGGGATCTTAAAAGGCATTTAGTTCAATCCTCCCATTTCTACATAGAAGGAAACTGAAACCCAGAGAGATTAAATGATTTGCCCAAAGTCACATAGGTAGGAAGTGGCAGAGCTGGGATTTGAACCCAACCCCTTTACTCTACATCCAGTACTCATTCCACTACACTGTGCTGAATTTGAGACACCAATGATAGGACATTCAAATGTAAAATGGGGATAATAATAGTAACTTCCTCCCAGGATTATTGTGGGGATCAAATGACATAATACTTGTAAAGTGCTTTGCAAACCTTAAGGGGCTCTATAAAATGCTAGCTTCGATTACTACGCTTTGACCACTGTGTTAACATATTAAAATGCCTTTTTTAGTTGAATGGAAGATATTAAACAATAAATATTTCTTCAGTCTAAAGTCCTTTCCAGACCTACCAGAATGAAATTAAAAAAAAAAAAACAACACAAACCTTTGTCAGTATTTAGTCCAACTTTGCCTAATAAAATCGTTCATGAAAATGGATTGAGTGGTAACTAGACTTAGAATAGAGAAATATCCTACCTCTAGTTAAGAACAAAACCTTCCCCCTTCCCCAAAGCAAAGAGTGTATTGGTTTGAGGAAGGAGGTACTTATATTTACCTGTGGTCAGCTTGCAGTGGGGGTGGGAGGATTGGAAAGAATTTTTTAAGAGGTTATTTTTGTTCGTCCTTCATTTTTGAAGAGGACCAGTGACATCATGGGTGATATCTTTGCTTTCCAGTAAATTGGATTTAAGGCAGAGTTGTGTAAAGTTGTAAGCTTGTGTGGGGTGTTTGTGACCCCCAAAATAATCAAATCAGAGACTTTTTCTTAAGAAAGGCAAAAAAGAGTTTTATTGCTTTCTCATGAGAAAGGACACACCCAGCATTCTGCTCAAGATGGCTCCAGCCAGGGTGTGCGAGGGAGTGTAGATCAAGGCCAGTTTATGTAGACCCTAAGGCGGAATCCCCACCCTCCCACTAGCTCCCCTTCCCATTGGCTGGGCTTCAGAGCTCACAGTCTAAGCAGAAACTTTTCCCCACAAACAAGGTTTGCAAAAAGGCATGAAACAAGGAACTGTTGGTTCAGCAGGAAAGTAAGAAAAAAAGGAGGGGAGAGCCGGAAAGCCTGGAATCAATAACCTAATCTCCCCCTTATCAATTCTGTGGGAACCAAACTGTTAGCATTCCTCACAAGCTTCACTCTCTCTTCCTAAGTTATCAAAGTCCAGTGGCAGGAAAAACAGTCCTGACAAAAACTGACTGTTCATGGCCTGGGATGGCAGCGGATATAACCTTTGATGTCTGACCAAGCTCTAATAGCTCTGCAGCACCTGCTTCAGCTGCTTTCATGGCCATTGGAACAAATTGTTCTCATCTGACCATTCCACCGGGAAAGTCTTCATATGCTTGGTGGTCATAGAAGGATTGAGTAGTTTTAGGAGTATGATTCTACAAAATTAAGTGACTATTCAGAACTGACTAAGCAAAAAGCTAATTTTTACCTTTCCTTGAGTTGTGCAACAATGTTTTGTCATATTGTGAACTTTTCTGAGATTGAGATTCCTCTAAATGTTATTTCAAAAAATATTTTGTGGTAGAGACATGTGCTAGGGTATGAGGGAACGCTGTCAGTTTGGATCACTCTCTCTCTTTCTCACACACACATACACACACACACACACACAGAATAATGCTTCAATTTAGAATAATGATTACATAAATGAAAATTATTTCTTGCACACTTAGGCCTACAACAAAGAGTATAATTTTTCTTCTATACTACCTTGCATCTCTCCTTGGCCCTTATTATATTCTCTTTTGCATTATATTTGTGTATATGTCATATTGTCTTTATAGATTATTTTAAACCTTTTTATTCTTGGTGCCTAGCACAGTACCTGCAAATAATAGGTATATAACAAATGCTAAACTGAAGACTTAGTTCAGTTGCTACCTCCTTCCCTGAGACACCTAGCTAAAAGTATTCACTTCTCTCTATACACGTACCATCCATGTACAATCAATTAATCGATCAATCTACAAGCATTTATCAAGTGCTTACTATGATATTACAACTTGTATCATGGATATTTTTGTATGTATATTTCCCACCCCCACCCCCAATACTAAATTGAGAGCAGGGACTGTTATCTCTATATTCCTTACATTACATAGAGTAGGTACTTAATAAAATCATCTATATATCAGGTCCTAATCTCTCTTCTGAGCTCTAGCTCTTCATCACCAATTGACTACTGGACATCTCGACCTACTTGTCTCATTGGCAACTGAAACTCAAAACATTCAAAATAGAACTCATTAACTTTCCCTGTAAATCTCTATTGCCCCCCAAATTATCTATTTCTGTTAAAAGTACCATTATCCTTTATAAACCTTCAGAGTTCAGTCTAAGAAAGACAAACAGAATTAGGTTGTATCCATGCATGGGAGCTGCAGTTTGGAACGGGGCTCACTTTGGGGTTAGGGTGCATAGTTTATATACCCTTTCAACAGGGGCTGATGCCACTCCATCATCATTTCTATCCTTGACAGAGAAAATATCTTTATACCAGATCACTCCCAGCCATACCAGATCACTCCCAGCCATACCAGACCACTCCCAGTCTTGGGTTATCTAGACAAAAGAATCTGTCTCCCCCCCCAGGCTTGAGTAGAAAGAGCTTCCCTGCTTTAGATTAAATTTCTTGCAAGCTTAGTTGGGGGACTGACCAGGATAAGGAGAATCAATGCAATCTCATTATCAGTAATGTCCTTCTGAAGAAAAACTGAACTTAAAGTCAGGACTTTGGAAGATGGGGAGGAGGAATTCTGAATCTCCAAGATATTGGTTATTAATAATCATTTTTCACACCTGCCAATCATCTCGGCTCAGAATTTTAGTCATCCTTTCACTTTCCCTCCCCCTCCTGCTTCTATATCCAATTAATTGCTAAGTTTTGTCAATACTACCTCCAAAGGACTTCATCACCTTCTCTCCACTCCCTCAGCCACCACCTGGCTTCAACCTCTCATTAACTCTCACATGCACTATTATAATAGCATCCTAATTGGATTTCTCTCTTTTATTCCCTCTGCAATTTACCCTCTATACAATTGCCAAAAGAATATTCCCAAGGTATAGGTTTGACCATGTTACACCTCCACTCAAGAATCTTCAGTGGCTTTCTTATTGTCTTTAGGATAAAATTCAAACTTTTCAGCTTATCAATTAAAACTGTTCACAGTCTACTCCAGCCTACCTTTCCAGACTTATTTCACATTACTCCTCTTCATATAATTCTCCAGTCCAACTGTCAGCCTCAAGACCACAATGTGGCCTTTTAGGTCCTTGGGTGCTGCCTTTTGACTGAGTCCAAGTTTTACAGAACAAATCCTTTTATTAAAGGGATTTGTTCTATTAAGTTTGGATTCAGTCAAAGGGCTGCACTTGAGGACCTAGAGTGCCATGTGTGGCCTCGAGGCTGCAGGTTCCCCACCCTTGCTCCAGTACAAGAAAACTGGACTATTTACTGATCTTTGAAATCAACGTTAAGTCTCCTGCTTCCCTCTCTTGCATTCCTACAATACATTCCTCTCCCCCTCCACTCCACCCATATACCCTTAGAATCTTTAGCTTCTTTCAAGGTTCAATTCAGGGGCCACTTCCTATGGGAAACCTTTCCTGATAGCTCTGTTAAATGTCCTATCCCTTCTCAAATGATAATTGTTTAAATGTTGTATACTCTTCCCTCCCAGCAAAATTTCAGATCCTTCAAGGCAGAAACTATTTTCCATTTTTTTGTCTTTGTATTCACTTAGTGGGGGGGGGGGGGGGCAGCTAGGTGATGCAGTGGATAGAGTGCCAGCCCTGGAGGACTTCAGTTCAAATTCCACCTCAGACACTTACTAGCTGTGTGACCCTGGGCAAGTCACTTAACCCTGTTTGCTTCAGTTTCCTCATCTGTCAAATGAGTTGGAGAAGGAAATGGCAAACCAGGCAAGTCACTTAACCCTGTTTGCCTCAGTTCTCATCCATAAAATGAGCTGGAGAAGGAAATGGCAAACAACTCCAATATTTTTGCCAAGAAAATGCCAAATGGAGTCCCAGAGAATTGGATCAGACTCAACATTGTCACCATCCACTTAGCAAACGTACTTAATAAATGCTTCTTGAATTGAACTGATTGAGTTCTTTAAACCTATGATGATGCTAGTGCTGATTCTGCTTTCAGTGAGTCCACTATTGGAGTCACCTGGAAGAAGGCCATCTCTGCCTTATGGCACTCTGAAGAACATTAACCTGTTTCTCCATCTATAAACTGGGGATGATAACACTTTTACTATCTACTAAAGGGTTTGTTGTGAGGACTATTAAATGTTCAATGTGAGATTCCATTAGACGGTGAGCTCCTTCAGGACAAGTACTTGTCTTTTGCCTTCTTTGAATCCCCGGTTCTTAGCACAATGTCGACACACAGCAGGTGTTTAATAAATGTTTGTTGTGGGAATGAATGAAACATTTGTTGGATTGGATTGAGTTGTAAATCTTACAGCCCTGTAAAAATGAGTTGTTGCTGCCTTGCCTTAGAGATTGCTTTCCCATTTGCACTCTATCTTGTATGTATATATTTTTTCATATTGTATGCTTGAGAATAGGAACTATTTTTTGCCTTTCTTTGTATCTCCAGTGCTTAGTACCATGCCTAGCACATAGCGTTAGCATCTTTGCTATTTTATTTGTTTGTTTTATTATTTACTAAGCATTTGAATACTTATTGACTATTTAGCAGGAGGGCCAGCTATATATGGTTCAGCCTTCACTGTTCTCTGGTTAGGGGATCTCAGTCATGGAAAAAGCAAGAGGGAAGGAGAGATGGAAGAGGGAGAAAACAGAAATATAGCACGTTATGGGAAGAGTATGGGACTGCAAGTCAAGACAACCAAGTTCAGGTCTTGGCTCTTCTACCTGTGTAATCTTTAGCAATTCACCCCACATTTCTAAGCCTCAGTTTCCTTTTCTATAAAATAAGAGGATTGGATGCACTTTAGGCTCCCTTTGAGCCCTGGCATTTTATGAATCTATAGGAATTTAGGGGGAAAGTCAACCAATCCACAATGGATAGAAAGCTGACCTCAAAGTCAGGAAGACCCTGGGTTCAAGTCCTGCCTCTGACACATCCCATCGTGTAATCCTGGGCCGAGTTATTTAATGTCTCAGTGGCTTAGGAAACTCTCTAAGACTCTTAGCTGAAGTGTAAGTGCTGATCTTCATCTGTAGAGGAATTCCCTCTATTTGGAGCCAGTAGGTCAATAAACATGAATTAAACACCTACTAAGTGCCAGGCACAATGCTAAGCACTGGGGATATAAGGAAAGGCAAAAGAGAGTCCCTGTTCTTAAGAAGGTCACATGAGATAAATCAACAGAGAGAAGGCACTAAGGGGAGTTCCCTTTCTCCGATGAAATCACAGATCTGGGCCAACCAACCCATCAATAATAATAATAGTAGACATTAAATGACTTCTACCAACCAATCTACCAATAATAGCTGAAATTTATATGGCACTTTAAGGTTGTCACTTTTCATACTTATCTTAAAATAAGGAGGCAGCTCAGTGGTAAAGTGGATAAGTGCTGGCCTTGGAGTCAGAAGACTTGCCTCAGACACTTCCCAACTGTCTGGCCCTGGGCAAATCATTTAATCTCAGGATAATACCACCTACCTCACCGAGTACAAAAAATCAAAAGAGAGAGCTTATGTGAAGCGCTTTGCAAACCTTGAAGATCTATATAAATTCTAGTTACCCTCCTTTTCTCCTCCCCCCACTCTTCCTCCATCATTTTCAGAGGTAGCTGAATAATCAGAGGCTCAAAGAGTGACTTTCCTGGGGTTACATAGTTACTAAGTGTCACAAACAGATTCCAACTAAGAGCCTGCTGGTCCAGCATGAGCTTTTTTTTTTTTTAATAGTATTTTATTTTTTCCAATTACATGTAAAGATAATTTTCAACATTAATTTTTAGAAAGATTTTGAGTTCCAAATTTTTCTCCCACTCTCCCTCCTATTTTCCCTCCCCAAGACACAAGTAATCTGATACAGGTTATACAACTACAATCTTGTAAAACATTTCCACATGTCATGTCATGAAAGAAGCAGAGCAAAAGAAAAAAAAAACACAGAAAAAACAGTCCAAAAATGAAAATTGTATTCTTCTGCATTCAGACTCCATGGTTCTTTATCTGGATGTGGATGGCATTTTCCATCATGAGTCTTTCGGAATTGCCTTGGATCATTGTATTGCTGAAAAGAGCTAAATCAATCATAGTTAATCATCAATGTTACTGTTACTGTGTGTAACATTCTCTTGGTTCTGCTCACTTCACTCAGCATCAGACCATACAAGTCTTTCCAGGTTTTTCTGAAGTCTACCTGCTCATTATTTCTTATAGCACAATAGTATTCCATTACATTCATGTATCACAGCTTGTTCATCCATTCCCCAATTGATGGGCATCCCCTCAATTTCTAATTCTTTGCCACCACAGAAAGAGCTGCTATAAATATTTTTGTACATGTAGGTCCTTTACCCTTTTTTATGATCTCTTTGGGATACAGACCTAATAGTAGTATTGCTGGATTAAAGGATATGCACAGCATGCTAACTCTTAATCAATAAACATTTATTAAGCACCTACTATGTGCCAGGTTATAAAACTGTGGATACTCTTTAACTCAGTAATACCACTACTAGGTCTGTATCCCAAAGAGATCAAAGGAAAAGGAAAAGAATTTACAGCTACAAAAACATAGCAGCTCTTTTTGTGATAGCAAAAATTTGGAAACTGAGACGAAAGAATGGCTGAATAAGTTGTGGTATATGATTGTGATGGAACATTATTGTGCTATAAGAAATGATGAGCAGGATGGTTTCAGAAAAACCTGGGAAGATTTATATGAACTCATGCAAAGTGAAGGGATCTGAACCAGGAAAACTCTGTACACAATATCAGCAATATCGTAACCATGATCAATTTAGCTACTTTAATCAATACAAAAATTCAAGATAATTCCAAAAGACCCAGGATTAAAAATGCTATCTACCTCCAGAGAAAGAACTAATGAACCCTGAGTGCAAATTGAAGGATAATTTTTTCACTTTCTTCATTTTTCTTGCTTTTTTTTTGCAACATGGAAAATGAGGAAATGTTTTGCATGATTTCACATGTTTAACTGATTTCATAAAGCCTGCCTTCTGAATGAGTGGGAGGAGAGGAATGAGAATGAGAGAGAGAGACTTTGGAACTCAAAATTTTAAAAAAATAATGAATGTTTGAAAGAAATAAATTAAAAAAAACCTCCACACACAATTCCTGCCCTCAAGGAGCTTACAATCTAACAGAGGAGACAACAAGCAAACAAATCTACCTCTCTGGCCATACTAAGGGCGAACCTCCATGTTGCAGTACTTCTAAGTAGAGAAGAAGAGAAACCCGCCACTTTCCATCGCAGGAGAGGAACCCCGCCCTCTCCCCGCCCTCCGCCTAAGCGGAGGGGACCCCGCCCCACGTTGTCTAGCGTCAGGACCCGAGCCCTCCTCCAGCACCTTGTCTCGGACTCTGGTTTCAAAGCTGTGGCGTAACGGGAACCAGCCCTCTGCAGTCACGAGCCCCAGACCCCAGATTGGCAGTTGGCGACATGGCGGCGGGCACGACTGATAACCTCTCCGTGGTGTTGCACGGACCCGGGGACCTGCGCCTGGTAAAGCAAGAAGGGAGGTGGTGGTGGTGGTGGGGATCCCGCTTCCTTTGATCCCTGACACCCCGCGGCCCAGCACTGGACCCCGTAACTTTCCCTGAAAACATTTCCCTGCCAGATTTAGACTCTCCACCCCTGTCTCAGATCCATCCCCAGCGCCCTCCCTTCCACCCAGTGCCCAGTGTAGCCCAGAAAGAAGTGTTCTCCCCTAATCCCCCTCAATTTAGGTACACTCAACTTCGGATCTAAGGCCGTTAGGGCTGGAAAAATGGGGTGCAGACCCACTCTCCCTCATGACAACTGTGGGTGCACTGTCTAGCCTTGACATTTGCATCCCTCAAAAGTGGTACCAAGGAAAAACAAACTAGGCTCTTCCTGAGATCCTTGGCCCATCATTTTCTGAACACTGGATGGATTCATTGTTTCCTTTCCCCAGGTATTCCCCTCTGTCCTTATCCGCAGCACAAGACTCCCATTCTGGCTCATTATCCACTGGTCCGTTACTTCTACAGCCAGTTCCATCTTCTTTCCACCCTCCGTTATTCGCTTCTCTTTGAACTTTGGCCTTTTTCCATTTTTCTTGGCACTTTGCAATGAATGTTTTTGGCCAATACTCCCTTCTCTGCTGCATTCATAGCCTTGCCCGGGTTGCTCAAGTCTGGCACAGTCAGTCAAAGCAGAAGGGAAGATTCTCCATCCCATAATAAGAACGACGCATGTTTTTCTAGCAGTTTAAGGTTTACAAAGGCCTTTTCTCACAGCCTAAACTCATTGAAACAAGATAACACTAGGTCTCTTGCTAGTAAGTGTCATTCCAACCCGTGAACCCAGGTAGGTGTCTTTTAGCTAAGTACTTTCTTGACTATGTCCCACTGCCCCACCATATCATGGGAATAATTTCCTTCGTGCCTTTTGTGCCTTTGAAGATAACATTTTATTTTGATTTTAAAGTAGAATTTAGAGTTTGTTGCCTCAGACCCCAGATAAACTTTTCTAGGGCCTCAGTTTCCTCAATGAGTCTCTAAGGTCATTTGCAGCTCTAACAGCCTACTTATTTTATGATTTATAATTAGAGAGATGTTCCCTGAGATATTGGGATAGGGAGAAATCAGTGTCCCAGCATAAGTGGCCAAACCAGTCCTGTACTGAATTCACAGCCATCATCATCAATCCATGGTATCTAGCATCCTGCCATCTCAATCTTGTGGCAGATGCATTGTGGTGTGGTGGATAGAGCATTGGACTTGGAATCAGGAAGAGTTAGATTCATTTTCACCTTAGAACTTGGGCACGTCATTATACATCTCTGTGCCTCAGTTTCCTCATTTAAAAGATCAGGGGGTTGGACTATCTTATGGCCTTTTAAGTTTCCTTTTAGCTCAGAATCTCAGGTACTGTACTCTCCCTGATAATAATGTTTTTATTTGATATTTTATTTTTCCCCTGTTACATGTAAAAACGATTTTTAACATTCATTTTTTAAAATTTCAAACTCCAAATTCTCTCCCTCCCTTCTTCCTTCCCTTCCAATCTCATTGAGAAGGTAAGCAATTTTATATAAGTTATACATGTTCAGTCATGCAAAACATTTCCATATTATTCATGTTGTGAAAGAAAACACAGATCTGGTACTTTATTTTCAAGGGGAGTTTAACATTTAACATTCACCTATGTCTCCTTCCCTCCTCTACCTCCCCAAATAATCCTTCATCTCTGCAGGCAGAGACTAGTACCACGATAGTTACTTTGCCACCCTTCTGCCAGAACAAAGCAACAGGCAAAAAGGGAATGTGAAGATGTGTGTGTGGGACAAAATTCTAGGATGAATTCTAGGAAGTATGTGGGACAGGCAGCCTTGTAAGTCTGGAAGATCTGAATAGAATCCTCGCACTAGGCTCAGTGGCTACCTAACTCTGGGCATTGCAGAGCCATTGCATAAGAGAGGGAGGGAGATTCTCAACTGAATTTTCCTTACAGTTAGGAAGGAGCATTTGGATATGTAAAATTTAGAGACCAACATTTCTTGGAACACCTGAGTTTTGAATGAGAAGTAGTGAAAGAAAGGCTGGATTTAGGAATCAGGCCTGAGTTTGGATCTTTCCCCTGTTACTACACATGTGACTTTGGGAGACTCACACCACCTCTTGGCCTGGTTTCCTTATCTATAAAAACAGATGAGTTAGATTAGATAATCTCTTAAGCTTCTATCTGGCTCTGGAATCCTCTGGTCCCAGGGCACAAGTTGACTGTGAAACACACAAAAAAGGGAATTTACAAATGAGACCCAGAAAAGAGATCAAAACAGAAGATGAAGGCCAGTGTTGTAAACAGAAACCACAAATTAGAAGTTAGCCCAGTTTATTTCCACACCTACATGAAGAAAGAAGGCTCCAGGGCAAAAATAGGATATATAAACAGGGGCAAAACCTTGGGAAACAACCCCAGAGGCTTCTGGAATAGGTAGGCAAAAAACAAAATAGAGGCAGGCAGTCCCCACTTTACAAACAGGTTGTATTCCAGAAGGGCATACGGTAGGGGTTGGGGGTGGGGAAGCCTTTTAAACCTATAATGTGGAACTTCTCTAAGTCTATAAGATCATTATCTGTAGGTGGCAGGAGTTCAGACACCAATAAAATCACAGATTGGTGGCTATCTTTGCAGCTGTAAGAAAATCTTAGACTTAGGAGAGATTTTAAACATTAGTCTTTTTCCTCCCCTTTATTTTGAGAGACATTCTGGCCTGGTAGCTTAGGGCTGGCCTTGGGAATCAGAACAGTGGAAGTTTTAACTCTACTTATTGCCATAATACTAACTAAGAAAGTCACTTAATCTCTCAATGCCCCAGGCTACTGTCTAAGGTTATGAGTTAGTTATGGATGAATTTCCCCTCTACCTTAGCAAAGGTCCTTATAGCCAGTGAAATAATAATAATGATAGTGACAACAATAGCAGCTAATAGCTCAAATGAGATAATATTTGTAAAAATGCTTAGCACAATGACGGGCACATAGTAGGAATTATACCTTTCCCCTCCTGTATACCACCTACTCTGTGTCAGACATTGTGCTAAGCACTTTACAAATATTATCTTATTTGATCCTCATGACATCCCTGGGCTGTAGGTGCTATTTTTTATCTCCATTTTATAGTTGAGGAAACTGAGCCAAAAGAAGTTAAGTGACTTGCCCAGGGTCACACAATAAGTATTTGAGGCTGTATTTGAACTCAAGCCTTCCTGAATCCAAGCCTAGTACTCTATCCACTGTGCCACCTAGTTGCCACCGAAGCTGACCTTCTCTAGCCCAAAATAGTAAACATTTACTAAGTGACTACAATGTGTCAAGCACTGTGCTAAGCATTGGGGATACAAAGAAAGGCAAAAGACAGTCCTTGGCCTCGAGGAGCTCCCAATCTAATATGGAAAACAACATGCAAATGACGATGTACAAACAAGCTATATACAGGATAAAATAAGGAAATAATCAACAGAAAATTAAGAGAGCACTAGAATTAGAGATTGGGGAAGGCTTTCTGTAGCAGGATTTAAGCTAAGACTCCAAGGATGCCAGGGGAGCCAGAAGGCAGAAATGAAGAGGGAAAAAATTCCAGGCTTGAGGACAGTCAGTGAAAGTACCTGAAGTTGGAAGATGAGGGTTTGTGGCACGAACCACAAGGAGTCTAGTATCACTGGAATGAAGAGTACATGTGGGATGGAAGCATGAGGTGTAAGAAGAATGAAAAGGTAGGGGGTGGAGGTGGTGGTGGTGGGGGGGGCTAGGGTTATGAACATAAAATAGGATTTTGTATTGGATCCTGAAGATGATACCCATGGAAAGCCACTGGACTTTATTGAGTAATGGGTTCCGTACATAGTGAGACCTTTGCTTTAGAAATATCACTTTGATAGCTGAATTGAAGATGGCCTGGAGTGGATAGAGACTTGTGGCAGGCAGACCAATCAGCAGGTTATTTCAATAGTCCAGGCTCAAGGAGAGGAGGTAGCAGTATCAGAGGAGAGAAGACAGTATATTGTAAAGATAAAGATGTGACTGGGGGGTGGGGGGGAGGGTTTAAATTGGCAGGGCTTGACAACAGATTAGGATATGAGAAATAGTGGGAAGTGAAGAATGACACCCAGGTTTCAAGCCCAGGGAATGGTCGTACCCTTGACAGTAATATTGAGGTTTGGAAGGGGGAAGGGTTTGGGGGGAGAGATAATGAGTTCAGTTTCAGATAAGACATGTTGAATAATGAAGTTGGAAGCCAGATTGTAGAGTCAAGAATGGAGTGAGAGGAGGGGATGTGGAGATACTTACTGAAAACAGACTTCTCAGGGAGTTTAGAGAAGAGAAAGTATTAAGGAGAATAGGGTGATCGACAAAAAGGTTACAGAGAGGATGAGAAGGATGAGGGTTGAGAAAAGGCTATTGGATCTGGCAATTAAGATATCATTGGTGACTGGATTTTTTGAGGTTAGGGAGGTGGGCATGCTTGTTGGCAGTATAGAAGCAGCTTTTGGACTGGGAGAGACTGAAGATATGTTAGAGAATGGGGATGATAGAGGAGACAATTTGCTGGAGGAGATGGGATAAAATGGGATCACTTGTGTAGGTAAAGGAGTTGGTCTTGGCAAGTAGAAGCACCACTTTGTCTTGTGAGACAGGTGAAAAAGGAGATAATGTTGTAGAAGGCACCAGGGATGATGTAAGCCACAGAGAAGGGGAGAAAATGTAGCTCTCAGGGAATGTCCTTGGTTTTGTTCAGTAAAATATGTGGTATTCCTCAAAGATCCTGAGATCTTTCAGGAGGGTAATTCTCACCTTGATCCATTTGACTATAGGTCAACAGAAAAACAACTGAACAACCCAAAAAACCCCCACAGCAATAAATTCAAACGCAAGGCTAGAATATAAAAAGTTTAATTTTCATTAGCTGATGGGCTGTTGCCAGATAGCTAGAAAATCTGTAGAAAAAAGGGAGATACTCATATATGTAGGGTTTTA